TTCAAAGTATTTTAAAATGCTCCTCCTTTTTCAGCTTTTCTAATAATCCCACAACAATTTTATATTTATCCATATTCAGTCAACAGTATTTAATATTAATATGCAAGTAACAAAGATGTTCATGCAAAATTTTTAGAGTACATTAACGACTCAATTGCTAATAGTAAGCAGAAAAAGAGTGTCCTTAGTGTTTTTTAGATAAGTCGAAAGCAAAAATAGCTAGAGGAATTATCAGTTTTCACCGTTTAATGAATATGATTTTACTTAGTGATGGCCGTAAGACGCAAGTTATTTTTCTAGTATCTGTTCTTCGGTCCCTCGCGACCTATACATACAGGGTATAGGTCACAGATGAAGATAAAAGTAAAGGACAGAGAAAACATAACGTACGGCGATAATGAAAATGTTTTCCTTGCCGTGCGAAACGAAGAAGTTACGTATGGAGATGTTAGCCAATTACTTTATTGGTGGTGGCGGGGAAAAAGTAAAGAAACATTTTCTGCCTTTCGACGTGGAAATTTGAAAAAAGTTATAATTTTCAATCAATTTTCTTCGAAAAGGTTTGAAAATGTTTGGGATGAGCGGCGGCGGCGAAAAACTTCAAAAACAAATTCTGTCTACGGCGGCGACAACGGCGCAGCTAACACCTAATTACGTATAGTACACGAAATTCTTAACGTAAGTGAATCATTCTTAACGAAATAACGATGTGCTTTCTTCCTGTTCACTTTATACTATTTCATTTTTTTAGCGTAGGCATTTCTCCTATAATACTTAATGTTAATTTGTTTATAAATCTGAAATATGTCTTAAGAAATGTTTTGCAATCTCCGCTACAAAATGGCGAAAACCGCATCTCTCTATCACCGTTCGTTCCCCAGTTATTCAAAGAACACTCAATAACGGACGAAATGATTTCATGAAAAAAGGCTTGTAACTTGAACTAAAAGGTTTGTAAAGTCAAAATTTTCAAATTTCTTAGTACCTAAAAACCCTTGCCTCTCAAACTGTGGACGTACTTCTATAATAGTCTCTTAGAGGCTCATGATAATATTAAATCGGGAATTTTCAAAAAAATTCAGAGAACACTTGAATCCGATGGCTATGTTAAAATAAAGTGTGGACAAAATTTTAATGAAAGTGACAATGCCAACATTTATTTGATTGATCTCATTACAAAATTAGGTGGGAAATGTTTAAAGCACAACGATAATGACGACTCATACGTTTGGCAGGTAAAACCGATGATACACTCGACGGATGGTGCGATTGCCAGATCTCATACTAATCGAGAGTTTGAATTTCATACCGATTGTTCCTACGAGACAGATCCTCCAGAATATATGGCATTATTTGTTTTACAACCAGATAGATACGGCGGAGGAATATTGCAAGTGATTAGAGCAGATGAGATACTATCTCAAATGTCAGATGAAAGTAAAGAAGTACTACGGGAAAAATTCACGATTAATGTTCCACTAGAATTTAGAAAATTGTCTGATATTGATCATATAAATGAGCCGATTTTATTTAAACCAGGTCATCTGAGATACAGAAATGATATTGTTGATGAAAAACTGCTCGATGAGAAGAAACGAGTTGCTATCAAGGAATTAAACTCAGTCGTTTTTGGAGAAAAAGTGACTGTGCACACACCTGTACTTGATAAATATTCTTTAATTATCATTGATAATGGAAAATTTCTTCATGGTCGAACAAAAATACTCGATGTTGATAGATTACTACTGAGGGTAAGATTTAATAGCCTTATCACCTATAATCGACTTGAATTGGTGAAAAGTATTCAAAATGAAAATAACTACGATGTATTTTCGATGTTTGATAAAAATAAACTACATCCCGGTTATATTCATTTAACGAATGATTTACTTGCTTTCATGAGCGATAGGCAACAAATATTATTTGATGCAATAAATCAGATTGTCACACAATACACTTACAATACATCAGTCGGAGATGAAATCCGGACCACAATCGCACTTAATCCAAAAGCACATGATATAATTTGCAAATTAAATCAGGTTTCACCATTCAACATTGGTTGCTATCGACCTGATATTCTATTTGCCAAATACGAATCAACAGCTGACGAGTGTATTTTTACTTTAAATGGAAATCAGGGACAATTTGCGCCAAAAATATGTGAAATAAATGGCAGATTTTCGTTAAATGCTTATCTCTTAACAGCTGCAGTATGCACATCATCCGGTGATCAAGATAATCAAATAAGTGAGAATTTCCGTCTCATGTTAGAAACAATTACAAATACATTTGATACATCGAAACCTATGGTTCTTCTCAAAGATAGAGAAAAGGGTTACGATATTAATATATTCAAACAGTTTTGGTGCAATACTTTTCGCACTTCCTGTCGTATTACCTCGCCTTTAAATCTTAAAATTGTTGAACAAAAAGACGGAAAACAAATATTATCAGATGACATTGGTATCATTGAGCAATTTATCCTTGAATTACACCAGGATGAGATACTAGATCTACCAGACAATATATTAAACTTTTTTATTTACAACAAACAGCTTCGATATATCAATGATTTGAGAACGATATTTCTCGTACACGATAAACGATTACTTTCACTATTGTCAAATTTACAGTTTCTTCGTGCACTTTTTATCGAACAGTCAACTGTGAGTGACGAAAACTTGTCTAAACTTGCACAAATTATTCCTATAACGCACGTTCTTGTAAAAATGCCAGATTATTTCAAACATTTAGTATTGGAGAAGAAAAATCAGTTTTGTATCAAACCAAATTCACTTGGAAAAGGCCAAAATGTGATGATAGGTGCGTATATATAAAATACCAACTGGTGGTAGACGAAATGATTTGGAAACCGAAATCTGTTGGTCTTCTTCATAACCTCCTTCACCCTAGGATAGCAGGCCACTGCTGAGACAATTTAGTAAAATCCATATTAGAAAATCATGGCCTTCTCATACAACCACATCACTTTTTTCGAAAACATTTCAGCATCTGACTTCTAGAAACCGTGAACTCCCCAACTGGGACAAACCTTCTAAAAGGATTTCTAAGGAATATGTGATAAGGAAGAATTCATGAGCAAAGTTCTCTTGCCTCGCTTTCATAAATCCTTGGACTTAAGCTTCGACCATCTATGAAAGAATTAGAGAAAGGCACTTAAACCTTGAGTGTTGCAATAACTGGGT